CTCACCAGCAGCTCCTCGGAAACCCTATACAGGGTTGCTATGAATTGGAACTAATTCAAGAGCACTTAACAATAACAAGATATAAATGCCTATGAATATTTTGCTGTTTAGTGATTTATGTTCAATATTGGACAGCAGAGGGCATAAGAGAGTTTTTAGGAAAAAAGTGTAACTGGAACAAAGGGTTTGCTTTGTAGTGAGTGAAGCTGTTGTGAATTTGTTAACTTTTTCAATTATAAATTATTTAAAGAGGAACTAGCAGATGAATTCTATTTTTCTTTTGAAACTGTAACAATTTAATAACCTAAAGTAATAACTAACAATACTGAGAAGTATTTAATGACTGTGAAGTTAGTCCCATTTGAAATGTGCCTATTATTTATTTGCATGCAGATAATCTACAGAAATAAGTTTATCTTTTAACTTAGAATCCTTTTTCCCCACTTTATTTTAAACACTCTGAGAAACTACCCAGGTTACATATATATTAGGAAGGTTCTTAAGTGGGGAGGGCATGTTGTTTTGATGATGTATGAGGGGGCTTCAAAAAATTTACAGAAAATTGGAATCAACTTTTTGAAGGCCCCTCATATGTAAGAGTACCGTTAAAGTACTGTGTGTGAAATGTTTATTGCACCTAGGGAAATTTATTTATACAAAAAACTAGCTTAGACTAAAGTTCTTGTATATGCTAATGCTTCGTTCCAATTCTACAAGGTGGCAGCAGTAGTTTAACCAACTATGCAATAGTAGTATTGATACATGCTTTTGAGTTAAAATTCTATTTATAATCTAGTTTTAGACCATGCTGTTAGCTATGTATGAATTCAGGATTACTTTTGCTTCCTAATGAATTTTCCTCTTTATCATTAATATTATCTCTAGTATTTCTTTTTACACTAAAGTATGTTTTTATATTTCTTTCACTTAGTATAATACATCTAAGGTTAATCTATATTTTTGTAAGTATCAATTGTTTATTTTTATTACGGAGTTAAATTCCATTGTGTGGATGTACCAAAATGTGTTTGTATGTCCAAAAATGGAAGGATATTGCATTGTTTCTAAGTTTTAGCAATTACAAATGAA